GAGAGAGAGAGAGAGAGAGAGAGAGAGAGAGAGAGAGAGAGAGAGAGAGTGGAAAAAAACACACACGAAACATTTATAATAATTTGTCCAAAAATTATTATTAGCCGAATGGGGCCATATCGATAGCTGGGGCCATTGAGAGAGAAACGAACAAAAAAATATGGCGAAGCATTCCATAAAATCGACCGCACGATATGACAGACGAACAAGAGACCCTGAGTAGGTGACAATTGAGTGTATATTGTTTATTAGTACCATTTAACCATTCACATTGATGCCATATAGTCATTTTGTTGCGGTTTTCAACTTATCCGATGTGTTTGCCCATCCGTTTTTGGTATTTGGCAGACAGTGTGCTGTGTGTGCTGCTCGTTTTTTTTATCATCATCATCATCTTCTTCTGTTGTTGTTAGTTGTTGTCGGTTTGGTTTGGTTCAGTTTAGGATGAAACCTTACCGCGAAATTAATGGCAACATTAACATAGACATAAACCACTAAACCTATTTTGAAACAATTTGTTGTTTTATTGATTTTAATCTGTTGCAGACAATGGAATTTCATATCGTAAAGCAGTTACAATGAGAACGAAAGAATGAATTCTTTCGAATGCTTCTCATTGTTGACGTTCTCTCACTTCACGCAACCATCATCTGTCGTTGGTTTATTGCTAACCATGGAAAATGTGAGTCTTTGAATGATTTTTGCACTCAATCCATATACACACACACACACACTGAGACGACAACAAACCTCAAATTCCAGTGATTTATTGGTGTTGTTGACTATTTGAATGACAGTGAAAGTTTTTTTTTCCCATCTTTTTGTATCACAGTTGAAGTTTAAAATACAGGAAAATGTATGTTTCATACAATATTGAAATTTTTACAATTTTTTTCCTTCACCAAACGTGTTGAAAATGGGTTTTCGATTCGAATCATATTCTAAACTAAACCACTCATGAACGGTTTGAAATAAAAATTATAATTGTTTAGACAATAATCTACACTGAAGGTGAATTGAATCAATGATATGCATAAGAATGGGACGTTCTTCGATGATCCGCATCAAAAATCGTATTGAATCAGCACTGTTGAACAGTAATGGTTTGTGAAGAATTGTGAATTGTCATTTACATAGTGAAAACACTCACAAAAAATTTAAACAAATTCTTCACAAAATGAAACACTGACTTTGAATCTGCAAACGAAACAGAATTGCTGATCATGGCAACATCAGAAACAAAAAGTTAACCATGGCGAAAAATGCAAGTGATGTGGATTTGTGCTGGTATGGTGTTACTTTTAATGACATTTTCGGCTGCTAATACCGATACAGAAAACATCAACATTTCCAAAAATGGCATTATTATCATAATTTATCTGTCAAGACACCAGCGAGAGGAAAAATCGTAATCGCTCTTTTAGCTAGGTTGCGCGTGCACATTCAGTCCAGCTCGCACTCATGCGCATACAAACACCGAAACAAAAAAATATTGAAACGGCGCGCACAAAACGCCGTATGATTGATGATCAGAAGCTGAATGCTCTACACAATAAAACATGTTGAAATATTCAAATCAAACAATTGCATTAAACAAAAAGCAACAGACACAAGAAAAAACGAAGTAGAAGAAGAACGGTTACTGGGTGCGCACGAGTGAAGTCGCGCAACATCACCAAAAATCTCGCTCTCTTGCATACTGGAAATGATATAAAGGATAAGCGCTTTAAATCTTGATTGATGGCTATTAATAACTCCTTGCAAATCGATGTAAAAACATAAAAAGCAATTCATAATTCCAAAATGATATAAGTGAACAAACAGCCAAACGAAAACAGAATGGCACGAGATAGAGAGAGAGAGAGAGAGAGAGAGAGAGAGAGAGAGAAATTGTGCGGGCAGAACGGAAAAAAAATTGAAGACACAGGAAGAAATGGACTTTTTAAAAAATAATATTGAAAATGAATGAACGAATAAGCCAAAATGTTTGTTGTTTGTTTATTTTTCCGGTTGAGTATATCTTCCTTGTCACGCATTATGGCATTTTTTTATCCACATTTGGTCCGTTGTTTTCTTTTCTACTTTCTTACACTTGAATGGATTGGTTTAAGTTATTTTTGTCCTTTTTTTTTATCCTCAACGGAGCCAGAAAAAAAGTGTGTGTGTGTGTTATTTTTTGCGCCTACTTACTTGTGTCATAACACGATCAGCACCAGTGCCTTCGTCATCCTTGAATATTATATCCTCATTATAATTGGGTGAAAAATCCTTAAATTTCTCATGATTTCTGGTGATTTTGCCTTCTTGCAGACCAGATGCGTTTATCGTATTTTCACTAACATTTGGCACATGCTGTTTAAATACTAATGGTGTTAGTTTACGCAAACGTCTTGGACCACCAATTCCCCGTCCAGGACCACACGGCATTACCGATGTGAAAATTGCAAACAATACTAATATCACTAACATTGACATTTTGATATAAATATATAAATTTTTTTTCTCTATAAATTAGAAACTAAACTGAATTTTTTTTTACTGCTGTTTTATTTTTTCAATCGTTCTTTTGTTAGTTCGTTTGATTTCTTCTTCTTTTTTCTCAATTCGTTCACTGACCGTAGCAAACACACTTTTATTTCACTATTGCCTTTTGGTTGATATTTAAACGAAAAACCATTTGAAACGAATTTATTTTTGTATTTTAATCCATATCGTTGTTCATTGATAATAAGGTGGTGAACAAAATCGGGTGGTTGAACTTTCAATTTTGAATCCAAATTCCATTGTGCAATTGAAGTGAAAATTGAACAATAAATTTAATCCTGAGTATGATGTGGTTGAGAATGTATCAAATGACGCACTTGAAATTCGGTACTGCGATTTCCATTTATTGCCATCATAACGGTGTCGTTCATTTCTATGTCGTTCAATTATATCTCCTTTGCTTCTTCTTCTTCTTTTTTTAATTACAAAAACGCACTCATTATTTCTACAAAATGATAGGTTTATATATTTTCACTGAACTCATTTAGATAACTTGATTCATTTTTCTTTCTTTCGACGAGAAATTTTTTCTCCTCTTTTTTTTTGCACAATACATGTGTTTTTGTCCAAATCACCACTTTTTTCTTTCTTTTTTCAAATAATAAATTTAAATGGGTTTGTTGATGTTTCGTTTATGCGTTTGTTTATTCGTGAAATTTATTATGAAAAAATAAATAAAATAAACCGTTATTGATTACATATCGATTCGTTGAATTTTGCATTTAATCAGCATGCTTAACGTGTTGTGGTGGGGGCGTTATGATTTCTTTTTTCTCGGTTACTTTTAAATTAGCGAATGCATCAACGCAATACGAAAACCACGCGCATGCATGTAACTCAGCCAGTCAATCGAAATGATAATATAAATGAATTTAGTTAAATTGTCATCAATCACAGTCACTGTGTGCTTCTTTTTTTTTACAATATCAAGGATTAACACTTCCCGAGATGGTGCTTCTACAACTTTCAAAAAAATATATATGCATTAACGAGCAGTACACGAGCAGTAGTAGGGAACAAAAAATGTACACCGCAACAGGGCGAATTGTTCACACACTCTTCGTCTCTCAGTTTGCTTGCGAGAAATAAAAACTATTACAATCAGATGTAAAGAGCTCACTGGAAAAAAATTACCTCTAGAAGAGAGACGTGAGAAAAACAGCAACAACAATAACAACGACACGAACAAATTGAATGTATGGCACACATACACACACACACACACACACACACACACATGCTTGGCATTCAAAGCTTTTAACGTATCGAACCACTGGCCGATATCGATATATACCTTATTTTATGTCGATGTATTATCCCATATATGAATGGCCGTTGTGTATTGGTCTGTTCAGTGTCTTTGTCCATTGTTGTTGTTGTTGTTGCTGCTTCTTCTTTTGTGCTAGGGGAATGATCGCAAAGAGCTTCACGATCATGCCGATATACATATATGTGTGTGTATGTGAATGTGTGCGTGCGCAAGTGAGCAATATGCAACAGGCTTTTGCACACACAGTAGCTCGACAACAGGTAAGATACATACTGGTCTATCCTTTATACCATGCCGCATACATGTACACATACACATACATCGCCTCATCGCATCGCTTTTACAACATTCTGCCACCAAACATTCAACTGTGCGGTCAACTTCTTTTCACATCATATACTGTCACTTACCCATTATACATATATATAACAACTGTTCACGTGTGTGAATATCGATCGCTTTTTTTGTTGGAGAAGGCTGTGATCAAGACACCTAAACATTCTCACCTCATCGTTGTCGTCATTTGTTGCAGCAAGCGACATTGTTCGTGAGTATTGTGAGATGCCGTCGTGTTCGTCGTTGTCGTCTTCTTCTTTTCCTCCCTATTCGTTGGATTCGTGTGTCTTGTGATTTCAAAAGGTGACTGGCTGCATATGTATTTATCGCCGATAGAGAGAGAGAGAGAGAGAGAAAGAGACAAACTTTTTCCTTTATGCACATTGTTCGTCTTACCAATTGTACTACATATACACGCGCACAAAACTCTACCAATAATAAATTGCTTCCCCCACTCACGGCACAATTTTGATTCCATTCCGTTTCTAAGCTCCTTTGGTGTTAATGCTGTGCAGCCGATCTCTGCTTCTTCTTTTTCTACTTCGATCGCACGATCGGTGAACCTCTCGTGGTTCACTTCTTGTATGTTTCTTGTTTCGTGCATTCACTTACCTTCTTGATCGTTTTATTTTGTTTTATTTGTATGAATTGGCATAATTTGACACATGCCACATAAACGGCAATGGGAGGAGTTTCGGTATCGCCCCGCACACACATGTGAGAGAGAAAGAAAACAGAGAAGAGGAACACCGACAACAGAAAGATGAAAAGAACGCATGAACGTGAACACGAAATATTGACTTGAGTGGCTAAGTATGATTATATAGAGCTTTTGTTATTTAAATGCCCAAGTAAAGAACGACATACTAATTTGCAATGATGAAGGCAAATTCTTCCGTAGCTTCGCTTTTGCATGCATCTCATCTCACGTTTCCCACTTTTTCTCTCTCTCTCTCTCTCTCTCTCTCTCTCTCTCTTTCTCTCGACAGATTTAAGTAGCGCTTCTCTCTGTCTCTCGTTCCATCTGTTCTCCTATTTCTCCATGATTTTTCGGGAGAAATTAAGAAATTTCCAAAACACTTCCCATACACATCAACATCGATGGGGGCAGCTACTAAACCATGATCGCATGTTGCATTAATTTTCAGTTCTCACTTCGTTCATCCGACTATAGCAATGGGCTATGCCATCTCACATGCATTTATTATTAGCTGCGTTGCATACCACATATCAACCATACTAATAACATATACTCGAGAAAATGTAATTATCATTTAAATACAATAATGAAATCGAAATGGAACACTTTATTGTTTTGGTGATAACGCAAAACCTCGTTGGGTTCGGTTTTTTTTTTCACTCGTCTTCTTTGTGACAGACTCAGATCAAGTGGTAAGTTCGGTTTTCTTTTAGACCAAAACTGAATCGAAGCGTGAAATGGACGGGATTTGATTGTGTACTTGGTCGAGGGCAAAAATTAAATTGGCCCTTTGTCGAATGTTCAACGCTGAAAGTTTAATGGATTTGAATCGAATTTTTTTCGTTCAAATTCAGATTTTTTCAGGTTATTTTTTTTCCGCTAAAATCCGTGTTCGCTTCCTTTTTTGCATAATTGTAATTCGGTGCTCTTACTCATTTCCAACTTCAATGAAGTTTTCACCTGGAAATGCCCTAACCATTAACTTCACCTATAGTTAATAGGTGAAATGATTGAGTAAAATCAATGGGTAAAATGCCCTAACCAAAGAAAACCTAAAATCGATACACATACCTTGTAAGGTGTTATGGTATGGTCAAAAACTGGCTGATTTTACCAGACCCATTTTTAACCAGACCAAAAAAATTCCTGTCTAGAAGTCTCATTGTTGAATCATTGTTGATTCGAATAATCCACACTATGGATTCAACAGCATATATAAAAAAGCATTAAATTCGACATTTCACTCGTGTATAGTACGAATTTCATGCTACGAAGTGATGTCCATTTAATCTCGAATGTCATTTATATATATATATATATACAATACCGTGCAAAAGTTTGGAACCACTAGGTATTTTTCATACAAATTGACCATTTTTGGTGGACTCATTAACATATTTCGGAAACACCTGCACTCTTGATATTTTGTGCATAGTTTCTACAACGTTTCAATAGTAAATCACAGAGGTTTCATCACAAAATATTCATGTATTTAAAAAATATATCAATTTGAATTTGATCTGTTTTAATCTTCATACGAATTTGATCATTTTTCGCACAGTACAAATTCAAATTGCTATATTTTTGAAATTCATGAATATATTTTTTGATGAAACCTCTGTGATTTACTATTCAAACTTTGTAGAAACTATGCATAAAATATCAAGAGTGCAGGTGTTTCCGAAATATGTTAATGAGTCCACCAAAAATGGTCAATTTGTATGAAAAATACCTAGTGGTTCCAAACTTTTGCACGATAGTGTATATATGTAATATTGTGCGAATCAAATGGCCATTCGGTGATTTTGCATAAAGGCGCTATGATAGAGCACAGCAAATGAATTTGAATACATTCACCGGTTCGTTAGTCCCAATCAGAACTATTCAGAAGAGCTTTGCCATAAAATGCTAATCCGAATTTATGATCTAATTCATACTATGCATTCTATTTTCTCAAATGATTTCATGTCCAATCCATGTGTACGAGAAATGAGATCATATCAACCAGAAATAAAAAAGAAATAAACTCTATTTTGATTGGCTAACAAGTGTAATTGTAGTCTGTTTAAAATTTCTCTTTTGTGTTCGGTAATTTTTCTCTTCATTTTCATTGTTTCAGTTGTCGAGCGTGCACTGTCCACGCGCACACGGTTGATTCAAGTAAAACATTGAACAAATATTCCGTTCAGTCCAAAGCATCATTTAACAGCATGGCGTAAAGATTGGAATTTGTAATATACGAACCTGCGTTAAGAGTGTTGATGGTATTTCTTTTCCCCCAGAGAGATACAGAGAGAATTGACTTGAAGCAAACCGAAAAAAGCAACAACAAAATAACAAGACGTGTGAATTCAGCAATATAATTTGTTAAACTTATTTCGGAGTCTATAAATAGTGAGATATCGGAAATCATTGGTTTACGAGTCATTCACCGAATGGAAATAACTAATAAATGTGTGTTTTGCCTGTTGCGATTAATTGCGAACGAAACAAAGCCTCTGCTCGATCTCAGCCGTACATTGGCGCGTTCGTTGTCCGTTCGTTTCGAAAATGGACACAAGTGATTGGTCTAAATGATGTCGCCATCTAAGATGTACCGCATTGAAACTCGTTTTCCTTTCGTAATTCTTTTCGAATGAATACACATTCACACGCGCGCGAGCGTGTTTGCGTTCACTTTTCGTATACTCACCCATCAATGATCTCCATTAGATACACAAATAGTGTGTGTGTGTGTGTGTTTGTTGGTTTTTTCCTTCATTTTTTTTTCGGACACAGATTTTGGTTTTCTTCTCTTGCTTTAATCAGAATAAATGTGCCAATGCATGGCTCTATAATTTCGAAAAATCAAAAGACTTTGCAAGTTTTCACTTTAAATCAATTAAAACTGAAGAACATTTATTATTTGTTTGTTGTAAATCATTGTAATAATTAAATTAATTTCTAAGCGTTAAGTAACTTGTTTTTTTTCTTCTTGTTCATTCATCAATTTTTTTGTCGATCAATTTTTGAATTTGTTGGTTTTTATTACAGCTATCATTTTGTTCATAATAATTATAAAGTCTGAGTTTGGTGAAACTGAAATTTAAATAATTTCTATTGCATTGGCTTCATCATGTGTTGTTGTTGTTGCTTTTGTAATTCAATATCAATAAATTTGTCAATTTCTATGCTTAACTCGATCATGCTTAACATCGGTCCACCGTGGAATGTTGTGTGAACGCCAAATAGCCAACATATAGCTAAAACGACTAATGGCGGGATATTTGATGGTTATTTGATGTTGATATTTTAATTTGAAATCCATATTTTCTAATCAAAACACGACAGCTTCAGCTGTCAAAACACCACATACACTCGCACACCGTTCCTGATTTCTGTGCCGTGTGTACGTGATGATCGTTTCGAATGTTAGACTATCAGTCGTTGAAGCTAAAGTCGCTACCATTATCGCTCACAGCACACTGTAAATTCCACCAAATCAAAACAGTACAGCTTATTGCTGCGTTTCATGCTCTTCACTAGTGCCTGTAATATGAAATAAAATTGACCTCACTTCTATCTCTCTCGCGCTCGCGCGCTCCTATTCAAAAAATAATAATCGTTACAAAAAATATTGTTATTACTTATAGCTTATTCTTTTATGCACTGCCATTTACTATTGAATTTATTGGTAGTTTTTGTTTTCTCTCTCTCTCTCTCACTGTTTTCTATCTCATTTTCCTGATTTCTCGTGTTTCATCTCGTTTTATTAATGAGTATCATTTCCTTTCTCTCTCT